TTACAATATACGATAATCATTTACAATGTACGATAATAATATCATTTATATTAATATAGGTACCTTCGGCAACGGGCTTACACAGCTTCGACGTTAAGATGTACCTATGAGGTTTATGTGATACATCGCCAATTCAATCCTTTATAGTTTTAACATTATCCACCGTAGTGCAGGACATAATAATATTACCGATGACAAGTTTTTCTATTCACGGTTAGTTTTATATATATCAATATTCAATATGATACGATAAAGTTCATGTATAATTCATCGGATTCTATAGTAGTGCGTCTGGGTATTTGTGCGGGATTAATAATTATATAATACTCACTTTATGTTCTAGTATACCTAATTACCACGATTAATAGTAATATTATTATCTTAGTTAAAAAAAACAAACCGTCTCCCTAATAAAAAAGGTAATTCATAAAAAAAACTTAATACATCTTTATGTACCCAACTACCCAAATCCCATGGTAAACATTGAAAAAGTTTCTATAGTTTTTTACACAGACCAATTAATCAAATGTTGGTAAATTTTTTAACTTTGTTATTCCCAGCTGCACGACGCTTGTGCAATAAGACTTATGAAACTTATTTTAAATTAAAATACCCTAAATAAAAGTAATATTTACCGAAAACCGCTGAATTTTTTCTACTTATATAAGTAGGTATAGTTGGTTTTGAGTGTACCTCGTCAATCAGTAAGGTCAGTGAAATGGATGTCAATAAATCGTTGAATACGAAAAACGATTCTAAGCGGGTACAGTGTGTCAGCCACAATTCCTAAGGATCTATTTTATTATTTATTTATATAACTAGGAAGGTTATAAGTAATTTACTTTTCTATTGGTACGTTTAACTATTTTTGTTGTCTTAAATAAAGCAAAAATTGTATTACATTATTGTAATTAACTTATAAATTGAATACCGACAATAATAGCTTTAACCTACTAAATTAGATACTGGTTAGATCCAATTTGCTATCAAAAACTACTATCGAAGTTAAACTATCATTTTTTACTGCTCAAAATGTTATAAAAACAACAAAAAACACACAGAATATATCATTGTAAAACAAACAAGTCGTCGCTCAGAATCTAAAACAAAAATTTAGTTTTATAGTTTATTATTTGAATAACTAGTCGCGCTTAAAAACTATATTATACGATCATTTGAGTGTATTTCTAAAATAAACTCCGTACACTTAACAATGACAGTACATTGTGATGGTTTTCAAAACTTATTCGTCGGATTTCTTAAACTAAAAATTATTCCTTAAGTGGACTATAATTGGCCAATCGATTTAACATTTGCATAAGGTTGTTTGTCTAATTCTACGATATTATAACATTGATCCACTACACAAATAAAGTGCCTTCATTTCTAAAATGTTCATTTCTTCCAATTATAATACTTATTTGGAATTATTATGAAGCGAATGTGATTAAACTTCATTCGGCATTATTGTTAACTTTTCGTCGAGCGAAAAATACTTTTAATTTAATAACAATAATGTGACTAAGCCATGTGGTTTAACAAAAGGATTTTTATTGAGATAAAACGTTATTTTTTTTCCAACGTTGAAATAAGAACTCAAAATTGTATGTTTTTCGACAAAAATGTCAGTACAGAAAAATGTTGGAAACTAAGTCATCAAAAAAAAAAAAAAAAAAATAGTATGTTATACTCCAATTACAACATATACCGCGCCACGGGAGATCACGCATAGTGATTTATAAAGTGTTAACTTCCGTGTGAAAACCGTTACTGTGTGACTGTATACAGCAACGGAAAATAGTTGTTCACAAAACACAACGGCTTATACCGTTTGAATTTATCGCAGGCATTTGAAGTATGGCACGGCCAAGCCTATTACGGACAGCAAACAACACACAATCTATAAACTTTAGCCAGGTACATGGATATATATATATATTATCTTTTCAACCAGAAATGCGTAATAGAAAATGGTAGGAGATTTTTTATTATTGTCATTATTATTATTATTATTATTATTATTATTATTAATATTGTCGTTTTTCGTAAGGTATGGCAGCTCATGTACGCAATTCCATAGAACAGATATAATTCTTTAAGATGGACGGTAATGTTAAAGATATTTTTTCTCCGACATTCTTTTCGTATTTAAACTATAATAACTATATTTTGTATATTTTTTTTTTCGATCATGACACTTTACGGGAAACCCGTGCGAAGAGCATTAGTGTATTTACGATTTATATACTTAGTATCACATAGGTACTGTCAGACTATCCCATAATATAATGTTATAATATATAAGTAAATTGTTGGTTTCTGATTTTTAAATTCATATTTTACAGACAAATTTTTATGCAGTCGTTCGAAAACCATAATAAATAACTAATTTATATGATATTGCAGTTGTCGGGCATCGAGAAATATGTAAATAAGTAATGAATGTAAAAATGTAAAAAAAACATGTTCAGTGGAGCTCGTTAACTTCATAAAGAATAAATAAATGTATAAAATGTACCTACTCGCATCCGTTACAAAAATAACAAGGTTAACCTTAACATAATGGAATATAAGTCAGAAGTATACACAGTAAGTTACAGTTATTTATATCAGCGATCGGTTTACCTCAATAAAAACAAATGTTTGATGTCGTATATTATATGCGTGCCCGCGCATACGAATTGTCAATCGCCATATGCGTCCATGTACCTATAACCTACAGTATCATAATAATACGCGAATAATGAACATCGTCAGAGATTTTGCCAATTGGGTCGAAAATATACTCTGGCGAAGGCAAGAGAAAGTAATTATTACGATACAATTTTCAACCACCGTTCTGGTTTGTGTATTGAAATGTAATTCCCGTAAACTCGATTTTAGTCACATTTCATAAAAACATGTCACGTTTTAAACCATGACGTTTAGTAACTCGTGCAAACGTTAAATTTCATTTCAAACTCTGCGAAACTGTCACAAAAATGCACGAAATGCTTTTAACTGCTCACGGATAACGTATTGTAATCAAATAAATAAATACCGCTCAGAATCAAAAATAAATATATAGTTTTTAAGCGGTCCTAACAAATGTTGTTTTTTGCCAATGATTCACTGAAACGTGACGAAGAAATTATATTTATATGGTAGATAATTTATTTCAATGAAAATGTTTGAATCGATGTTATGACGTAATGTAACAACTAGTTTTTTAAGAATAGAAGTACTGTAAAATAATTGCATTAGAAGTGTTCAAATAGAAGTGATCAATTTATTATTTAATTATTGAGTAAGTAAAAAAAAAATGTTAATTATGCGTCATGTACATTTTTTCAATTCAATCACTCATGAAACTACTTCTATACATTTTAATTTGATACCATTTAGCTCTTAATATTTGTATCAACATTTTTTTTAAACTAAAATATACTGTTTCAATATAAAGAGTACTTTCACTGTTTTATTGTTTTTATTTGTGAGATTTTATGCTGTACTAGAATAATTTATGTTATATTAAAATACAAAAAAAAATTCGTTTTTGTTCTACATTTAAATTTAAGAAACTTACTTCACTTTTAAAATGTTCATTATTCAAAAATTAAATAACAGATTAAGTATAAGTAAAAGCTATTACTAATATAGTTATATGTTATAAATACGTCTATTGTTAAATACATTTTCAACAAATTGTTATTAATCACAACAAATGACATATTTTTTCTCATAAAATCTCAATCAACAATTAATATTTAATACATACTATCTTTATTTGTACAAATTAGTAAATTTTTGTAACTATAAGTAAGGTACCTATTTATGCAAAGAAATGGTTTTGTCTCCTATATAGTTGTCTTATTTTTTAAATAAATAGTTTAAGCATTATGGCATAACACTAAACTCCATAGAACGATAATATTGTTAAAATATGAATTTTAACATTATATTAAGTTTAAAAAATACAAGGTAAGGTTTGGGTAAAAACGGGTGGTAAAAAGTTATATAATTAAAAAAGTGTCAATTTTTAAAACTTTCTTTAAAAAAAACACTCTAAACATCACTTTGTTATAGTAAAATATATAGGTATATAGTTTTACAATATCTTACAGTATTAAAAAATATCAAATTAATGATGTTCTATACATTATACTTTATACATATATATAAGTCATACTGCTTAAGAATATTACATTATTATGTGGGTATGAAAAATATTTCACCGTATTTGAATGCAATAACAATATAGCTGGAGCTTAAATTATAATTTGAAATGATTCTTTAGGTATGTTAATTTAAGTCACTAAATATATTTTAATTACGTCTATGGCTATTATTAGTTTTAAACATCTTATATGCAATGCAGCACATTTTCCATAAACCAAAGTTTTATATAAGCCTAAAACTTGGATAATTCGAATAACGTATAATTTTAAATTAAACTGCATGTACACCACGCAACACCTACCTACACAAAATATTTCAATGTTTCGATAACTAAAAAAACTCAACAACTTAAATTGTTTTCATTTCCCTGGCGTCATAAGTTGCACCATAGTTTTACTTTTAATCGAGAAGTATATTCAGTAAACATATTAAAAATTAATTGAAGGTTAAGTTTTTTGTCAGTATATGCTATGTCATAATAATATTTGTATATAGGTTATATAAATCATATAATATTCTAAAAAAATTAGCTATACCTACCTAATAACTATGCATATAATACATTTATAAAATAGTTTTACTGGGTTTTCCAAAAAAATTCAAAGAAGAAATCATAATAATATGCGTAATTGAACCATTTGAATCCAAAATTTCTTCTTTTTATACTTGTTAAGACCGTTTAAAAATTAAAATTGTATTCTTCTGATTAAAAATATATTTTTATTCATTGTAATCAGTTTAATCGAAAAATCTCAATTTACACTCGAACAATTCATTGATAACGCACTGTAAGGTACGTCATTTGACGTATATATGTGAAATGTGTGTAAAAAAGAACTCACCTAAGACGACGATTCCCCACTTAACACACTTGTTCGAAAATTCTCAGATGTATTATGACGACCGGCAAAAACGGATTTAATCAGTCGACGAGGACCAACATAATGTCAAGTCGAAACGCACTATTAATTGTTCCTGCTGTATTAAACCTATAATTATTTACTTGTACTATATCGTAATATCGCGAACTTATGTGTATGAAATTTCTCAGGCGGTTCGGTACTCGCGTATACTTGGACACCTTCGCGTCAAAACACCCTAACGGCCACTGATTTTCAAATGCCCGTAGCGAGCACACGCATCGCATAACCAAATTCAAGCATGCGCACCGGCACCGGACTCGCGGCGTCATATTATTATTATTATTATTATTATTATTATTATTATAAATACGAGAGTAACGCAAACGACTATGCATTGCGGTAGTACAGCAAGCGAGTTTAGACCGAAAATCTAAAAATCACGAAAACGCGTATTTTAGTTCCCCGTAGACAGGGTAAAAGTACTATTCAGCAATAAAGCCCTCTATAAATAATATTATTGTGCAATGCGTAGACTATAATTCGATGGCGAGTGTTTTCAAGAATCGATACGATTGGATAGATAATAATATAATATTATTATTGATGGATTTCGTTGTAACGATATAGGCTCGTGTCCTCTCTAATGTGAAATCCAATACTTCGACACTCCTAGCTGTGAGGCATTATGTTTCCAAGTAGGCGCCTGCCTATAGAAACGTTTTAACCGTATGTGTATGTACGATGTGGTTTCTGTTCGAGGCTAAGTGTAATATTATGTTCTTGTCTTCTTTTAATACAAGCATTATATAAAAAAAAGTTGTGTGGTCTTAAGGATGATATTGATACGAAACAAAATGGCACTCAGGTGGCGCAGTCTATGTGAAAATAACACTGTTCGCCTTTCGATGAATTATTCGTTTCAAATACAATATGTGTTCGGTACAATAATAATTTGTTGTAGATCATATTATGATAATATTAATCGTAAAAAGAAGCGAATTTTACAGGTGAGATAAAACAAATATTATTGCATGGTTATTCGTTCAAATGTTTTCTGAATATTAGTTTGTGAAACTTATTTATTAAAAATAAATGATAACTTTCATGACCAATATATGGACTTAATATATGAAATTAAATCTTACAATCTTTTAATAAACAATTACATAGTTTATAATCAATTATAAAAAAAAATATGATAAGCAGTTAATTTGATGGGTAAATATAATAACTATAATAATCTACTGTAAGTGTATTGTCCTTTGGAAGAATGCATACTGCAGTACGAGTATATTAACATCTTGGCGCTTGACACCGTGATATTCACATATTTCCTAGACATAAACTATTATACACTGATCTACGATCGTATACTTGAATAATATTATTTTTTATAACCGTATTCTGACTATTATTCGGTGATCGTGTACACATGGACACTCTTCAATCAATTCACACCTACTACAGTTTAGCTGGTTTGGGAATTGAGCTAGTAAGCCTATTGATAACTATGAATTTATGGTATACACGAAACTTGGATTTAAAAACTTGGATTTTTTTTAAAACGTTACAAAAAACATAGTATTTTGATTATGGACCTATACCATTGCTTGGATAAATAGACTCACGATACTTTACTTATTTGGTAGATGTCTATACAGATATTAACACGGTGTTTTCGCCATTCAAATAATATTACAATAGAATCCGATTCGAATGCTTTCAACGGATTTTCCAAATCCCGAGCATCATAATACCCATTATTTTAGTTCCGAGGTGTGTCAGACATTGTTTTCAATAAGTCATATGTATATATGACATATATTGTATATAGAATTACGTACAGTGTCAGTGTTTCATACGTTTCTTTCGTTCCATCATATTATTATTTAATATTTTTATTTATTATTATATAGGCGCCGCCGCCACGTACGTGCACACGTGCGCATATATTTTGTAAAACCGTAACGCACGCGCAATTAAGTTTCCGATGTGTTTTTTTTTTTTTTTGTTGATTTTTTCCTTTCAACAATAGATATTTTACTCTCGAGTGTCGACAGAATTTCTCCGTACATTATCGATACGGTGCGTTCGTCGGAAATATAAAATCAGAGGCGTTATTTTGATTTTCGCCCGCATAAAATCCTTTTTTCAATGTACTCTCAAGCTGCACGTATAACATGTAATGTAGAAAAGTATACATATAGATACACGGTATAATATTAAAGTGAATCCGAAAGTTTAAATCCTATTGTCTATGCGCGAACAAACGCGACCGGTGGGGAAAATATCCAAAGTTTACTACGGCAATCGTACTCAAGGTATGCGACATCAATTTGTGTACGGCTATATCTCGAACAGATACGAAACGTTTTGTATTTGTTCCGTTTGTAGCTATTATATTTGTATTTATTCTCATTGTTTTCTTCGATATTGTGATATAGGTAGACCTCGAGTAGACGATGTTTGTTTTGATTTTTTTCAGGCTCGTCGAAGAATAATGATTTATTTGTCAACTAATTATAATATTACACCGTCGTTTATAAGATGATCGATGACAAATATTTTAATAAGCCGGGCCGCATTAACAGTATAATATTATAATCATAGGTGGAGATCGGGGGGAGGGGGCTTACGGGGGCTTAGTCCCCCCAAAATAAATGATTTGAAGTTAAAGTTCCCCTAAGAATATTAAACAAACAATACCGTAATTTTGTACAGTTTGCAGAATTTTTTTCATTATTTTATATTCTTATATCCACATCTATATAAGTGTACCTAGTACATTACATACACACTATTTAGTATTTACCAATTTATTATTTACGGTAACATACCGAACAATTAAGTCACAATTCACAATAATATTAAATTGTGTTTATATAACTAATATTGTACATATTTTGTACCAATTGGCCATCTATATTGAATAACATATTATACCGTTCTATTTTAGATGGGAAAAATATTTCTTTTCCTAATTTTTATTAATTCTCGAGAAGCGATAGCTATTATAGGACTATCGCTATAGCTATATTAAACCTATCGTAAAGTTTATTGTGATTAAATGAACCATTTTATACTAAATTATATTTTACTTATTGTTTGATGTTCTTGGGAATACATTTCTTTTGAGATTGTGATTTAGATTTTAAATAAATAATTTAGTTCAAATATGTTTAAAATATTTAAATTTAAATCGTTTATTAATAAATTATTCTTTTTTTTATGTTTGTAACTATTTAAGTTGTTATGATAACGAGTCAACGAGAACAATTTTTTATGAGTGATTTAATGTAAAAATTAGTTTGTTGGGGGTGTGGGGGCAATGCCCCCACTGGTCTGTTTGCCATCAAATATTTGAACCCCCCTCAATATTTCACAAGATCTCCGCCTATGATTATAATACAACCAGCTAGAACTGGATTTCAGAAAAGGGTTGTTTTTTTTCTTCCCAAAAGTGATGGCAAACGTTTGCGAAAAACTTTTTTGAAGTTAAATTTCTTATGTCGCGATAGATAGTACACTATAGTTGGCATGTTGGCAAATAGGAGGATACAACTATAAGTGAAATGCTCATAAATGGTGATTGGGTGAGGTGTTGTGGGGTAGGTACGTTGAGAGCACTCAACTCGGCAACGGAGAAGGTGAATATTGATGCAACGCCCCACTGCTCATGCAGTAACCCCCAACAGTGGAGTGAGCAAAGCTTGTTTTTATATTTGTTACGCTCTCGCACTCTCGGGCAGTCGTTATAAATACTCATCTTCGTTCTTTATTAAGAATATTTTAAAATGTAATTATTTACATTTCTCAAGAACTATTGAGTTGTTTAAATTTGACCACCAACTGTTACCTAAAAATAAAATGTTAGTTTTATAAACTATTATTTAATTAGCTTTTTAGCCAATATTCAAATAATTATAGGGTTTATATTGACTATTTAATTAATATGCATTTTATTGCATGATATTCTATGAGGTTATTTTAATTAATTATTATTTCCAAGTCGATACCTCAATGTGTCATATTTGATTGACTTTAGTTTTTGATATTTTAATGAATTATTAAAACAATTTTAGATACTGGACGAAGCGTTGCATGTATTGATTTTACATTGATGTGTATTCTTTTATTTTAAATTTTTTTGAGCTGTTTATATATGTTATAATTTAAAATAACGATAAAAACATTTTTACCGAGTCAAAAAGCTTGAAAATTTAATACAAGGTTCTTTATAAGTTGATACATTTTAAAAGTTTATATAATTTTAAAAACACTGTTTTTTTAAATAGATATTTTAAATTCAAATTTTGATAAAATTGGATACTTATACTTACGAAGAATAACGATTTAAGTTGTTTTTTATGGGTATTATTAGTGTATACTTGAAACTTTTAAAGTATATCTAGTGAAATATTGTTGCAAAAATAAATTCAACCTACTGTTTTACTAATAGTAAAATAAATTGCAATTATATCATTAAATAAACTGATAACAGTATATAGGTAGGCAGGTAGGCTGATAAACCGTCTTCGGTCAGAATCGTTTTTGTATCGTAATATTATTACAATGATTTTATATCATTGAATTCAAATTCACCACATCCATGATCTATTATAGTGACCCACACGGAAACCTAACCCTTTTTTGATATGAGTTTATTATTTTGGCAATCAAATTAATAATTCCTCGTGGTTTGAGTTGAGAACCATAATTCATGTTGCCTATATTGGACCAGTTGATAAATTATACTTGAAAATCAAAATTGCCACCTTTTAAATAAAACGTATACAATTATAACAAACTATTGGTTTTCTATTTAATCATCATTTAAGCTAAACTGTTACCTAATCTTTATATTTTAGCCTGAAAATTTCTTCTATTTTTTAACGGCACTTCTTTTCATTATGGCACAAAATACATGACCCAATACCACACACAAAAATAGTATGATACCACACAGATTTATGAAAATATATAGCCTATTTCCGCACACAATAACCATTCGATACCACACAGACTTATTAAAACCAACACAAACAGACAAACTGAATTATAAAATATTACATAGAATTAAATTTAAATTAAATTAAATTAAAATACTCAATCTGAATTAAAAAATTCAAAATGTGCATGTTATTACATCAAAATAATTAAGAGCAGCATTTCTATCGTAAGAAATGTAAATTTTATAGGGTGACTAAAGTAAAGTTTTGAAAAGAACAGTGACGTTTTTCG